CTTTCAGGAAGCTATGGAACAAATGGTTGAACAGTCACAACCACCTGAAGGTGACGAGGTTACTACAGGCACAATGTCACCTCTTGCTGCAGTGCGTCAGTATCTCTCCACTAACAGTGCAAGAAGCACCTTCCTGCGTAATTCTGGGTTGGTTGTCAAGGTAACCTCGTCCAAATCGCCTACTGAACAAAATCTTCCTGCTAGACAGAGTGATATATATGTGCTCCAGACACAAGTCCAATCCCTAATGGACGTTGTTTCGGAAACAAGAATAGTGGTTGAGAAATGTCGTCAATATATGAATGGTTTTGAAACCGGACTATCAGACATTCGCTTCATTGTTCAAGAGCAATGGCGGAAAAAAGGTGGAGATCGTGCTGCTCCATCAGATTCTACAGCCTGAAACATTAGCACTCAGGTCAAATGATCTATGCTTCTATACATTTGATGGTGCTTTTATCTGGAAGGACTGTAAACTTTATGCCAACAGGCCTTTTGTTGTATGGTTGGAATTTATTTTGTTGTGATGCAACATTTATGGTGCTGCCTCAGGCTGCAGTAGTTACGATGCTATTTTTGTATAGTGTAGGTTTATCTTAGTAATGTATTCGGCCAAAAGCTTCGTAGGAGCCCAACATGCTAACATTCGTCGGGCCCATTCCAATTGGGCTAAAAACGATTACGGGCCAAAATTGGCATGTAGCCCACTAAAATATCTGGGCCTAAATCAGCATAAGCTTTCATATTTTTCTGGTAGGCCTGTGCCCATAGTGGGCCTTTAACAGGCCTAAACATAATTTGGGCCCTCAGTAAAAATAGGCCGTTTACAGGTGTAAATATCTCGAGCCCATAAAAAACATGGGCCTTTAACAGACCGAAAGTGAGATTGGGACCTGATTGTGCCAAATAACCCACTGGACTTAGCAGGCCGAAATGGTGGCCCATTTACGATGTGGATCTTTGACAGGCCGAAATTCGGACGGGCAGTAAATGCGCTGACCTAATACACGGGCCTTTAATAGGCCAGAACTTCGGTCAGGCTAGATTATCATCATTTTTCTATGGGCCGTTAATGGGCCTGATATGACGTTGGGCCACATATGGCCCATGGTTTACGTCCGGCGTTAACAGGCCGAAAATGACAACAGGTCGAAAGTGGCCCAAAGCTATAGTGGGCCTCTAACAGGCCGAATGTCAGACATGGCCGAATATGACTCAAATCCTTCACGGTCATTTATGGGCCGAAAGTTTTGATGGCCTATAAATGGGCCCAAATGAAGTCGGACCTTTAACAGGCCGGAAATACACCGGGCCATAATTCGACCTAATTACTTAACGGACTGTTAACGGGCCGGAAGTGACCATGGGCCGCGTTGATGACAAGTTTAGGACAGGCCATTGACGGGCCGATTTGACAGAGAATGTTGGGCCTTTAGATGGGCCGGCCCATTATGGTCTGCAGAATCTTGTGGGCCTTAAGCTGGGCCGGCCCATTGTGGTCCGCAAAATATTGTGGGCCTTTAGCTGGGCCGGCCCATTATGGTCTGCAAAATCGTGTGGGCCTTTAGCTGGGCCGGCCCATTATGGTCCGCTAAATTTTTGGGCCTTTAGCTGGGCCGGCCCATTATGGTCCGCTAAATCTTATGGGCCTTCGGTTGGGCCGGCCCATTTAAACTTTGTGGGCCACTTTTGGGCCGGTCCACGTGTCAACATATCATAGGCCCATCTCGACCGTTGGATGAGTGACACCTGTGCCAACGTGGAGCTGACGCGTGGATCCGTCAGCCAATGAGAATTTTACACGTGGAAAATCGGCATTGGTCGTGGCTGTTAACGGGTTATCGGATCCAAAATCAGACCCGATAGCTTAACGGCGTTCCGTTACGGTGGATGCCACGTGTCGGTCACCCTTGACGAAAGCACTTTGTGACGCGCGATTTATCATCATGAAAGTGGACACTTCCGTGATGATAATTTTGGCAATGTCATGGAACACTTCTACGACAGCACAGGTATAACTATCTTGATTCTGTCATAAATTTGTCATGAATGTACATGCATGACAGAAAACGCGACCTACTGTGACAAACACGTATCATCACGGAAGTGTATTTTTTTTATAGTGGACGTGACGAGCGTGGAGATGGTGGAAGCATCGATGGATGCAGCGGTTCTTGCCATGGCTAATCTCGGCGGCGGCTAGGCGGATTTCCTCTTGGGCTAGGTGGGCTTTCTCTCGAGTTGCTAGATGCGTGAGGATATATGGCTCTAATGACCATGTAGAGATTGGGAAAGCGTTGAACCCTTTGGTCTCGGGCTGTTGTATATATTGATCAATTGTCGTGGCTTACAAGTTTTGAGAGATCGTTAGGATTCCTCCTCAGAGTTGTACACGAGAGGAAAACGGAAGATTACATTAGGAGGAAGAAGCAGACAGAAGAAGAGATAGAAGTTTGAAGTATACACGCACGTATCTATCTATGTAACACATGATGCACATATATAGATACAGAGTGGACCGACCTCTATTTGTCTCTCAAAATATACAAATATACAAGAAAAAGAAAGATACAACGGTATAAATACAGATCCAAGTTCTATACATATACAGTGGACAACATACGCTCAACAGTGTCCATTGGCCGCTTCACAACCACCGTCGTCGTCCATATACTCCAGCTTCTACATCGTCGTCGTCGCGCCTCTCTAGCATGTGTGTTGTGCTTTGCTGTTACCGGCTAATCGATCCAGCAGCTAGCTAGATGCTACATGCCTGCCCGGCTTGTGAATCAATCAAGGGGCTTTAAGTCGTGTACTCGTGTCTTGCCGTATGTGAGCTGCATGTACGTGCTTCTTTGATGGGAACCTCAGCTAACATGCATGACACCGGCGACGAAGACGAACACGATCAGGCGAGCAGCGCGACCACGCCCTGGCGGCCTCGGCCATGGCCGTGCACCCTCGCCAGAGAGCAGTTTACGGTGTGGTTGTCCGCCGCTGTGCGTGTAGGTGCCAAGAGCAAGCCGAAGCATCGCACCTTCATGAATTGTTTGCGAAGAACTCAAAATCATGTTTTTTCTAATTTTCCCATCCAAACAAAGTACTGGGTATACTTACCTTGACAGAGTAACTAACCAACCAAAACTGGTTTCTTCTAAAAATCCTCAAAAACTCGTTTTCTAAAATCTCACATCTAATTTCCAGTATCCAAACAACCACTTAAGAAAAGAAGGGAAGGTCTCGTGTTTGTTTCCCTCATGAAAAAAAGCACGTCTCAGGTCCGGCTTGTGCAGGAATCCATCACCAAGTCGGATCAGTAGTTCCGTCTCAAATCGGTTATGTTGCTAGTCCTAGCTAGCTGGTAGTCCCTTTGTCTTATAATATAAAAGCATTTTCGACACTACATTTATATAAAAAACGTTTTTATATTATAGAATAAAGGAAGTATACAGGTATTGCCCTGCACCTCTATAAACAGTACACCCTGAGATCAGTAGAAAGATCAGTGGGACACGGCTGCACCTCTATAAACAGTACACCCTGAGATCAGTAGAAAGATCAGCGGGACACGGCGTCAGGACTCGGCCAACACTCTCGTTAAAGCCCCCGCTCCACTGCTTCTTGGCATCTGAATTGTTAAGATTATATATCAACCTGTTCTTCTGGTAATTCATGGTTCAGTCAGTCAGGAGAGGGATGTCTAAGCGAAGAAGGCAGAGCGAGGATCAGCCCGGCCGCAGTGGCACAAAGCAGAAGAAGAGCCTCTATCTGGTTCTAGACGATTGGCACAAAGGCTTCATCATCTGCAAGATCGACGCCGACAGTCCCGACCTCAGCGGCCCCCCTGTCCTCCGGCTACTGTCACTTGAGCGCGGCCGTGCCATGAGGTTCGCAGCCCTGGGCAGCAACATCATCGCCACGAGCAACATACACGCCGGGACCCTCTTCTACGACACGGACACCGCCGGACTGTCCATCGGCCCTCCCGTTCCAGACGCACCGCTCGGCGGCTCCAACACCTTCCTGACCTCCGGCGCCGGCGACGCGCTGTTCGCGTTCGCCTTCCATCTCATGGAGCGGCCTGTGTCCTTCGAGGCGATGACGAGGCCGCCGATGACCGGAGACGACGACCTGCTGCCCACCGACTGGTCCTGAAAAAGCATGCCGACGCCCTTCACCAAGGACGAGATGATCTTCTCCTACGTGCTGCACCCGGACAGGCGCACCATATTCGTGTCCTCGTGGAGCAGGGCGGTCTGCGGCACGTACTCCGTCGACACCAGGAGCAGCAAATGGAGGCGGCAGGGGGAGTGGATGCTGCCTTTCAGAGGCCGAGGCTACTTCGACGCCGAGCTGGACGCGTGGGTCGGGCTGCACGAGGACGGCTACATCTGCTCCTGCCAGGTCGCCTCCCGCAGCGGCGGCGCCACCACGGAGCGGCCGGACTGGAAGATGGCCGACGAGCAGAGGATGTGGATCCCGTGCCATCAACTGGCGAAAGGGGAGGGAGCTACTCTCACGTACATGGGCAATGCTAGGTTTTGCCTGGTCGATTGCGTGGCAGGCGATGGAGTCGAGTTTCAGGATGCGTTTGGTGTCGCTGGCGGCTGCGTGCTCCATATCACCACCTTCCGCCTCCGGTACGATCGTAAGGGCAAGCTGCGGATCGTCGACCGGAATACTAGCTCATGCCCTGTGTCTAAGCATTTCACGTCTCTCCTGTGGCGTTTTGGATGTAGCGCACTGCTCGAACAGGTTCTGGAGTAAACCCATCTGCTTATTTTATTCACGTAAAAGTCTAGAAATACAACACGCATTGCATCATTATTACGCCGTGCACACAGCACACCCACACCGCGATCCGAAGTAAAAACAGAGCTAGGTAGCGATCGATCGTCCCGCTCGCCCAGCCCAGTACTACCCATCACCCGTACGGCCGATGGAGAGCGCGGCGCCTAGTACGGCACAGTCGAACTTACTAGCTGGGTGCGGCGGTAAGTTTAAAAGAGGTCGGAGAGCGTGGGGAGCTTGAGCTCGCCGGCCTTGGTGAGCGGCAGCGTGAAGTTGCCGACGATGGGGAGGTCGACGGTGAGGCCGACGCGCATCTCGTAGTCGAGGTCCCAGTCCTTGCCGGCGTCCTTCACCAGGCTCATCAGGAAGTCGTACGGCACCTTCACCGGTATGTCGAGGCTGGTGGTGTCGCTGGCCACCAGCGACCCCGGGTCCGGCATGGTCCCGGAGGCCACGTCGCGGCCGGCGCTTTTGAGGGAGTAGCTGATCTCGCAGATGGGGATGGTGTGCGAGTAGGGGTTGCGCACGTCGAGGCGGCCGGACAGGGTGGCGCCGTCGCGGCCGACGTGCTGCACCGACAGGTCCGACAGGTCCGCCTCCGGTTTCTGCACCCCCGATATCTTCTCCGCCACGAACCCCTTGGCCTTGTCCATCAGCTGCGCCATGGCTGTGATGACGGATCGAACGACGACTCTGTCGTGTGAGTTGTGGTGACGGATCGGGATCGCTGTCAGATTAGTTTAATGCCGCGCTGCTTGCTTGATGGGTTTTCTCCGTCGAGATCCCTGGAATATAAGGCCTGAGGATGGGTTTACGCGGCGGACACGTCGACGGAATGCGTGGTGGGCGCGCGTCGGCACGGGAGACGCCCACCACCAGGAGCGCGACGGGTGGCCGCAGCAAGTCGGCACGGTCCCGAATCGAAAGCACGGAGGGCCCGGCTTGTGCAGTACGATAGTGTAAACCCGGGCATTTCTCGGGCCGGGCCGGTTTCGTGCCGGGCTCCAGAAAGCCCGATGCTAAAATGTAAAGCCCGAGCTTGAAAAAAGCCTGACAAAAATTCACGTTTACAAGCCCAAGCCTGGCCCGGCTGAAAAGCCCGAAGTCCGGAAACTCCTGATCCTTATGTACAAAAGTTACAAAAACAGCATATTTCAGCAAACAACAGCATTATAAACAGTAGCATGGTATATACATGTGATCTTTAAGTAACAGCATCATATTTCACAAAACAGCAGCATATACATAGAAAAAAATTATATGAGACCAGATCTCACGGTTAGCAGGTGAGACCCATCTTGATGGATGACACGTGACATTCACAAATCACAAAGCATCTAATCTCTCTCCCCCCTGATTTTAAGTGAGGGGTGGGGGATGCTTTGTGATTTGTAAATGTCACGTGTCATTCATCACGATGGGTCTCGCGTGAGACCTGGTCTCATAGAATTCTTTTCCATATACATATTTCACAAAACAGCAGCATATACATATACTCCCTCCTTTCATTTATATAGGGTCTAATGCATTTTTAAGACCGTCTTTAACTATTGACAAGATTAATAGTACATGACATGCACAATGTGAAAATTATATCATTGAAAGCTCCTTTCACACACGAATTTAACGGTGTGCTTTGTGTAAGTTACATGTCATATATTATTGCTCTAATATTTGGTCAAAGTTAGTCTTGAAAAATGCATTAGACCCTATATAGATGGAAGGAGGGGGTACATGTAATCCATTCATTACATTATTACATAACAGCAGCATATTTCTCAAGTCCAAAGACACAAGCAACATAGTTTGACAAGTCTGCAACATGGTTCGATAAGTCTACAACATAGTTCAATAAGTCCACACATAGTTCAACAAGTCGATTACATAACAGCCATTACATAATAAAGATATCAAATAGCAAGTTCAAAGCCACAAGCTGATGACTCCTTTGAATCCATCTCTTCCTTGTTCCATCAAGCTATCTAAACTTCATCATTTTCCTGGATGAAAGCACAAGTTGAAAATAAGAAAAATAGGAATGGCATGAAGCACGAAAGCAAGTTTGATATCAACAAACAAGACAAGGTAGTAAAGGAGTGCATAAATGATATATGGTAAACAAGACAAGATAGTAAGTTAGATAGAAATGACATGAATGAATACAAACCGAATCTGAAGATAACTCATCTGCATGAGAACTTGAAGGTCCACCTCCTGTAGTGCTCATTTCTACAAAACAAACAATACAAGAATCAATGGTAATGTGTGCAATGGTGATGTTAATATGAAACAACAATAGACACTTGCTTGTACCTTCATTCTGCCAAATCCTCGCTGCCACCACCACCTCCACCTTTGTCGCCCGCCCCTCATCCCCACCCCCTGCGGCCATGGAGCTCGCATCGGCCATCGACCACGCCCGCCGCCCGCACAACAGCCACAAGGTCATCGCCTCCACCCCTGCAATATTTACATGCATGATCAGCATGCTAAGCACATGGCATTGCAATAGAGTAGATACACTCTAGGACATTATATGCATGTTGTACCCATATCACAGGCCAAGTTAGAGCAAGGACCTTGTGGGGTGAAGAGGATTCATCATCTTTCTGCAAGTCTTCTGAAGAACTGCCTTTACATGTTCCATCATATTGGGTATCATTGACATCAAGTTTATTGGCCTTTACATTGCTCCGTGAGGTTCTTCTGGATATATCAGTGTGTGCAATTATATCTGACATTCATGGAAGACAACTAGTAGTTAGATTTATGTAATGAGTGCCTGTAGGAGACGACATAAATAGTAGGACTGGGGTTAACTAGCAGCAACAAGTCTCATAAACTAAAGGGAGAACACAGATGAAAGCTACAAAATATGTATCGTTTGTACTCAAGATTAACTAGATGGCACAGAAAAGTATTAAAGAACAATATAGGTAATACTAGAAGTGGAATACTATAATCACCAGCCTGTAGGATAGCATTGGCTGATGAATGATAACTATGGAACAACGTTACCTAAAGAACAAGTATCTTAGCTGAACTATGAAACAGCGTTAACTCCTGAACAAGACCCGTAAGAGATCAGCATGAATATACAATGAAATGTGATGATCTATTTTCCATGCTTAGATGAATAACAAAGCCATAAATGTTGCACACAAGTAAGATGAGGATACAACCTATCTGGCTGCCATCCATAGGAGTGAGCATCATGTGCTAACTTGTCGATGGCCCTGCGGTTGTTGTGGCTGTCCATGTCGGGCACGCGCATTCGATGCAGGGAACTGTTGAGTGGGGACTATAGCTCCCTTCTGGTGTATGCTTCCCTTGTTGGAGCAGCTGCGGTGAGTCGGAAGACGGTGTGTCTGAAGATGCAGATAACGCATAATGTTAAGAACGACATATCTCTTTGATCTGAAAAAATACACTAAGAGATCAACAACAAGGTACGAGAGTGGTCACACGTCTGTTGACTGAAGACTAAATTGGTGTCACACGATTTTATTTTATTTTGGTACTGTCCGATCTACACCGGATGGCTGGCCGTCTTGTGCCTCCCGCTGACACTGTTCGGAATCTTGCCCGAAGAGCCAGCGACCAATGGCAGAGCAGCCTGCCTCCGCCGTCTGTGGCCCCGGCCAAAACCCCGCTCCCTGCCCCACCGCACTGGCGTGGTTGCACTGCCCCCGGGCCAATCCACAAAGACTCCCCGTCATCCAGATCTGGCGGTGGCAGTACCTTCAACCAACGCAACTCTAAAAGATAGCCATCTAAACGCTACTTCCGCGGCGAACTTGCGGCCCCACACCCTTACGTTAGACACCAGCCAACCGGCAGCCTAGGAGCTCCGCCGCCTCGAGGGGTGTTGCTTCCCATTGGGAATCGATTGGTCCAGAATAAAAATTCAGACAATTGACGCCTAAATAAAGTGATTTGAGATGAGGGTGCGACCTATCTGGCGGCATGGTGAAGTAGGCAGGTCCAGCTGCCGAGTCGGTGAGGCCGGCGCGGTTGCGGTGGCGACCAGCGGCAGGGAAAGAGCGATGTCGCGACGGTCGACGGCTATGCGGAAGCAGCTCCAGGACTCTGGACGGATCCGAAGTTGGAGCCGCTTCGGTGCCGTGAACAACGGCGGGGGTGAATCGGCTCCGGTACGGTTCACGCGGCCGTCGTCGAGGCAGCACCAGCAGCACGGAGTAAGAGGCACACGACCCAGTGCACGATGGCAAATGGACAGTGTCTCCGGCATTAGGGAGGAGGGCGGCTGTGAAATTGGTGCGGTGGGGGGCACCATGGTGGTGGGGCTGAGGTTTCGCGGCTCGGGAGAAGGGAGCTTCCCGGGGAGAAGGTGATTTGGCGCCCATGAGGTATGAATGGTAGCGGGCGGGCGGGAATTGGGAGGGGAATGGAACCATGTCTTACAGACGCATTTGTTTGAAATGTGAGGGGGAGTTACAGTTCTACCCTTGCCTATAGGCTTCTCGGCTTGGGTCTGTGTACTGAGGGTCGGGGATAGTAGAGTAACTTTGCTTCTCCACAAATAGTGGGCGGGAGTGATTTTGGGCGAGGAGGGCGTGTTTTGAACTATAGTGGGCGCGAGCGATTTCGGGCGAGGAGAGCGTGTTTTGAAATAGTGGGCGCGAGCTATTTCAGGTGAGGAGAGCGTGTTTTTCCGACCATGGTTTATGAATTGTTCGGCACATGTCATTTCAGCCGAGGAGAAGGCGCGCTTGGATGAAGTTACGAACCTACCCTCGATGTACAACGGGCCAATTGATACGTGTCCCACATAGGACGGCAATTTCGCGTCTCCCATTTATTTGCTCGGGCGAATTCCACCGAGCAGAGAGGATGTTTAAAGGTTTGTTCAAATTTTGGGAGAACGAGCATCCACGTCTACCTTACCAAGTCGATTCGGATCAAATTTTGAAATGTTAGCTTACCACTTCTTTTTTAGATGGAGAGATGATGCTCGGGAGTAATGTGTTTTTACATGCTCGTTGCTAGCGATTTACTATATGACAAATAGTTGACCCACTTAAAAATGCGAATCAAACCCAAAATGAAATATCCCGATTCAATGAAATAGCTCGTTCAGTAGGTCAAAATAGTGAACTAAATCCAAAATTAAACACCTCAATCGAGTAGCATGTTGTATAGTATTATAGTACTTCATGAACATGTTGAAAGTCAAATTAATGAACTTGTTTGATATACGCATATATCCGTTCATGTGTGGATTGCAGACAACATGTTCTCCAATTTAAATATTTGAATGCAAGTTTATATCGAAACATGTTTTATATCAGTCTTTGATGCATAAAACACGACCTCCCCCTCTCCCGGACTCCTGTTCTCTGTCTCTCTCTCTCTCGCCGACAATCTTCAATTCTGTCGCATGCATCCGACACAAAAACCTTGTTGGTCCCTCTCCCTTTCTCTCCATCTCTCTCTCTCTTTGTGTGTGGGGGGAGGGTCTTTCTAGTTCGCATGCATATATACACCATCTATAGGTCTCTCTCGCACACTATGTATGACACTCTAGCTAGTCCAAGCTAGATATCTTGGGTGCACTCATCGTACGCACACAAATTCCTTGGCTCTTTGCCTGTAACTCTCTCACGCACCACTATGTCGTCTCAGAGCTCTCCCCCCCTCTCTC